GAGAGAGAGAGAGAGAGAGAGAGAGAGAGAGAGAGAGAGAGAGAGAGAGATTGTAGGTAATGGACACCTAGCAGGAGAAACACCTAGTAGCCTTTGGATTTTGGCTCTTGTGGGACACCTCACAGGACCTAACACCTAGAGATGTATGTGTGCTTGTTTGTTGTATGTAGGATCCCTCTACCTCACAGGACTTAACACCTAGAAGTGTATGTGTGTCTTCGTTGTATGGTTTCTGTCTTCTAGGACCTGACAGCCAGGTGAGAGTGCACTGGAATTGTAATGGCATTTGTAGGAGCGTGCATGCCTGAGTGTGTTTCTGAGTGTGTGACTGTGTACCTGGCATTGATTATAGGGGAGGGGGTGCATACTGGGAAACTAGTTGTGTAAGAGTATTTGAATACAGGAAAAGAGATATGTATCAGGACCTGACACCTAGAGCTGAGTAGACAGCTTTGTCTGTTATGGAGTGGGAACAGCAGGACCTGACCTCGGACTCTATATGTCTGTCTGTCTCTGTCTCTCTCTGTATCTCTGTCTCTCTCTGTCTCTCTGTCTGTCTCTCTTTATGTGTGTGGCTGTAGGCAATGGACACCTAGAAGGGTAGCACATAGATGACTGTGTGTAAACAGGGCTTTGTCTGAAAGGGAGAGACCTTGACGGACATGACACTGGGTGAGTGTTCATGAGAACGGCATGGGATCATACAAGCATGTGTGCCTGAGTCTGCTTGTGAGGGTGTGGCTGTGCTCCAGGAATTTGACAATAGCGGAGGTTTGGTAGTACTAAACAATTAGCTGTTTAACTGTATTGGATCTTCAGATGGAGGGGAAGAGGTACATGGCAGGATCTGACACCTAGCTCTGGGTGTGTGGCACTGCTGTAGCTGAGGAGATTCCTGTCAGGAATGTGACCTAACCATGTATGTGTATGTGGTGTATGTAAGGGAAGAGATAAATACTAGACCCTGACACTTGTGTTATAGGTATATGGGGGCTGTGTATGGCCTCTGTGGCTGTAGGTGAGGGGATACTAAGAAAGACCAGATACCCAGTCCTGTATATGGGGCTTTAGCCATTGCATTGTTGATCTCTTGGTGGACATGCTACCCAATTGTAGAGGAGCATTTTCTTGAATGGAAAGTTGACTTAGCAGGACCTGACACCTAGGCTTGTGCATTTGGCTCTGGCTGTAGAAGACAGGTATCCTAGTAGCACCTGACACCTAGCAATTTGGAGGTGGGTTCAATTTAAGTGTTCGGACACCTTACAGATGATGACACCTAGTCCTACTGTCAAAGAAAAAACTTGGCTTCTCCATACATTAAAACGAAAGTCAAATTCCTCTCCCAGACTTATATTTGTCAAGTTCCAAATATCTTGTTTTATACCCTTATTCTACAAAATCCTTCAGGTCCATATCTTGAAAATACTTTCTCTGATCAACTTCATTAATACTATACTGACCCTGGAGTTTTATCTACCTAGTCACTGACTGCTGTCTACAGACAATGCAGCACACTTTCTGAACAATCACCACAAGTACAAGTGCATGAATGCATATGCATGCACAAACACACACACACACTCACACACTTTTCCTAATAACATCATCATCTTTAGCACAGCTCCATACACACTACTATTGAACATGCCTGGCTCTAAACCCCCAGGTATCCTACATAGACTGCTCAATGTCATGTCCTAATGAATCTAGACACCTCCCAACTGATGCCACACAGCATACACTGTTGTGTTCATAAGACACACTGCAGGGCATCCCCCTGCTTCTCCCACAGAGACTCATCCCACTATCAGGAACTGACCCATGATGGGCCTTACTATCTACTGCCCCCCAGGCCTGCTTCCAACCCACCCATGTGCCACTAGTTACCAGGCCCTACTGGACACTCCTACCCCTGCCACATACCCTGAAACACACTGCTTGGTTTCCGGCTCTGCTGGACACCTGCATGAGGCCTGGGTACCCTAATCTGTATCTCATCCTCAGGAATCCCCAGTTCCAACCAGATATTGTGCATGATAACAGGCCTCATCTAGTAAGTTTCTCTTCCTGCACCCAACCTGCTGCCGCAAAAGCCCAGCTAATTTTCAGCCCTGTTTATACCCAGCAACTGTCTAGGAGTGTGTGGTGTCAACAGAATGGTGCTATTTTGGGTAAGGCTTGAAGCCAGTTATTGTATATGCATACAATATACTTCAATACACATGACTGCAATCTGCACAGAGTGGTGTGTCTTTCATATGTCAGTTATGGGGGTGTCTAGCAGAGTCTTTAAAATCGCAGTGTTCATTGGATCAGTAGTATATATCAAGGGTTAGGGTAGGTGTCAAACTTCTCTGATACCTAGCATGTCATGTGTGATAGAACCTGGTGTTCAAGTGAACATGACACACAGCACTTTATTTGCACTGTGGTTTGGAAACGGGTTAATGTGCAGCATGGCCCAGTAACTAGCAGTACAGCCTGAGACGCAGCACATTGTACAGCATAAGAAGGAGTCCAAGTAGAAGCTGATGCCTAGCAGTGTGGGTGTGTCTTCCACAGAAGAATGTCCAGCAATGGAATTTCTAGGTATCATGCAAGACCTACAGGGGGACAAGTTCCCAGCCTGGTCTGGTGGCTGTCGATTAATGTGGCATATGAGGTCATACTGCAACTGATGTTTGGATGAGTAGTCACAGGGGTGGTGGTTTGATAACACTGTATGTCAGAGAGAGCAGTGGAATTACAGGGTGTAAGCTCTGCACAATCCCTACGTTGTATGTGTTAGCTTGTAACTGAGCTGGTGTCTGACAAGGTCTGATCATTCGTTTTGAAGTAGATTGGCAGTGTGCTGTGTGATGTCCAAGTGTGCTTGACACTTAAGAGTGTGTGTAAGGGTGTTAGGGTCTCAGAAGAGCCCGACACCTAGCAGTGCATGTGGGGTAGTTGCAGGGTGATGTGTGCATTCCAGGTCTTTCGGCTAGCCTCTTAAGAGTTGCCATGGAGTGTTGCAAGGCCCAGCAGGTCTGATATCCAACAGAAATATATGAGTTGATGGACTGTAGTGTCCAGGGGACCTGATACTAATATTGTAGATTGTTGTGGTGGGTGTGATATTCCCGAGGGACTGAACTCTAGCAGCATATGTCCAATTTCAGTGATATTAGGGTGTCAAGTAGGGTACAACACTAAGAGAGTATTTGGATACAGTGGCAAGACAGTGTTCTGTATGGCCTGATAAATAGCTGTGAATAAAAGATTATGTGGATGAATTTTGGAATCCAGATCTACGAATACATATGAGGCATATATGGGTGTTTGCTCAGGAAGGCAGTCAATGTGTGATTTGGTTGGAAGTCATGCATGGCCCACACTTAGAAGTAAGTGTCTTAGAGGCTGTGTGTGTGTGTGCTTTTGTGTATGTGTGTGTGTGTGTGTGTGTGTGGTTTTGTTTGTGTGTGTGTGTGTGTGTGTGTGTGTGTGTGTGTGTGTGTGTGATGTAAGGGTTGTTTATCTGGTCTGACAGCTGGTAGTACAAGTGAGGTGGTAAGGCTGTGTCCCGTGCTGCATTATACCTAGTGTTGTGTGTCTGTGCAGGAAGAATCCATGAGTGTTTGAAGCAAGCAGTAACTGTGTGTCCTTGTCAGGAGGTCAAGTGTCCAACATTTCCCCATGTGTTAGTACTCTGTGGTTGGAGGCATGTCTAGTACGGTCTAGAATCTACCATTGTGTGGGGCACAGCGAAGGGAGTTGAATATCTAGCCCTAATACCTAGAGAACTATGTGGTGAGTGTGGGTGAGGGGTGTCATTCATGTCCTTACACTGACACTGTATGTACGTTGTTAACAAGGGAGTGTCATGGGTAGCACATGTGAGTATCTAGGTGTCAGCCCTGCTGCTTTCCCAGCTGACTGGACCATCCATGCTTTTAACAGATCGGCTGGACAGACATCTCCATTCCACACAGCGGGATAGGTTTCAGCACTAGTCCACCACACAGCACACACAACGCCTCCACCTCCTCACAGACACAGAGCGTTCACTGGCAGAGATTTGCTGTCCTCTGGGAGTGTCAGGGGCCAAGCTCTCTCTAGAGGTCCTGGGGAGTGTCTGCTCCAGCCATGCTCCTGCCTCTGCATATTCATGGCTGTTGGCAGCAGGGCTACTGAGTCCACAGTTCATCTGTGTTTTTCTCCTTCCTCCTTCCTATAAGGCAGGAACTTACGTAGTCCTCTTCTATAAGTTTATGTGAACATTATAGTGTTTGCATTTGGGGTCAAATGAAATGGTGACTGTGTTCATGTTTCTTGTTTTTATTTTTGGTTGTGAGCCTGGCCTTTAACGGATGAGCCATCTCTCCAGCCCATGTTTCTTGTTTTTAAAAGGGGTTCCTTATTCTTGTTTTTAAATCTTCTTCTGCAGTCTTTTGTGGACAAGCCAATCTCTCTGCCTTGATTTCCCTGGTTGACTATGAGAACATCAGCTGGCAGGGTTTCACTGGGTCTGTTACTTAACTTTCTGTTCTGTTCCATGTGTCCTGTCTCCATTACTTCCCTGTGGCCCTTTGTGGATCTTTCAGACTTGGTGGGAAGTCCTGTAAGAAGAAGATGATGGTCTGCAGGAATCTCTCCTGTCCTCTGCCCTCTCTTCTAGGTTTAGGTTCAGTTGGTTTTTACATCTTGTGTTTGAGCATCAGACTGGATTTTGCTGAATATATAGATGAAGTGCAAACATCTGTTACCTTTAGAATAACAACTGGTAGAACCTGAGAGATCATATAGCTTCAGATTTCTCTCCTCCAGGGGTCAAACATTCTGAATGACAATTTATAGAAATTATGTTGTTATTCTAATTCAGTGCATCAGTATTTGTTTGAAAATTGTCTCTGTCTAATACCAGTGAAAGATGGGCCGAGGGTATGACCTCAAGTTCTCCTTCTTCATGTTAGTGGAGGCCTGGGACAGGTGGTCCATGGATACTGCCCTTCTCACGAATCCACTCAACAGTTCAGGAAGGGAAACACATTTAATTCCCAAGGTTCCTCTGAGATATTTGTTTACATGGTCAGGCAGGTTTTCTGGATTATCTGCAAAGACACAGAGGCATATGTGAATTTCCAAACTGTCAAAATGCATAGGGGTCCAAGTTGGGCAAGGCTTCAACAGAAAGTACCCACTGGGAGGCTGTCACAAGGGACCACTCCTGTAGATTCCACAGTTCTTGTTGTTAACTTGGAGTCCTTGTCTGTAGTTGGATGGTAGAAGAGAAACCATGTCATTGTCCTCCACAGCATGGCCTTCTGTTGCTGTGTGGAATCTCTGAGTTCCTCTGGAGCTCCGACAATGCCATGCTAGTCTGCAAAGTAGGAGAGGTGAGAGGTGCTCTTTTCCCTCCATGTCACTCATGGTAAGTGTGCACATACTCAGGTCAGGAATTCTTGGGATCCAAGACTAGGGATGTGGCCAGGCACCTATGAGAAAATGCTTATGTTAGATCAAGGATGAGGCCAGCAGAGAACTCCTTTCCCACACTAGACCTGTGGCCTTTCAGAAAATAGCTGGTTTATTTCTGGTGGAGTTCAGGACATAATGAGCCAACAGTAATGTCCCTTTTCTTCCTATGTGACCTTCCTGAGGGAGAACTCAGTGGGGTCTCCTTGGAAAGCCTTGATTTCAGGGACTGGTTTGTTCTAGCTGCTCTGATACTGTCCCATAAACAGGCCCTAGGATCAAGAAGGAAAAGCGGTTCCACCAACATGTATGTTTCTAGGTGCTGTGCTTCCTACACCCAGCTCACTGAACACTTGCCTAGATGACACAGGATGCACATATGGTGAAGATGAGGTTTGTCTGAACATATAAAACAGAACCTGCAAAACTGAGGAGAAAAGGTTGGTCAATGAGAGTTCTGGAGTTGACCTCTGAGACTACAGAGACCCAGGCAGTCACCACCCTAGCCATTGTATCTGTGTCAGTGTTCTAAGAGGAATCTAAACAGTTCCAACCAGTCAGGCTCTGTGCAAATCAGCAACCTACCCAGCATCACTAGGACTCAGTTTTCACAACTGGGAGGTGAGCATCACTGAGGAACTTTGAGGCAGTGTGTGGAAAGATATTGGAACAAAATCTGCACCTATTCCTGCTGCCTCCAGGAGGAAGTAAGTGGGGCAAGGAGAGTATTAAGTGTTTGAGCCTCATCATTAGATGACTTCTCTCACATAACCATCTAGAAGTCACCATTTCCTCCCTGCAGTGGCCACTGATATAAAAAATTCACATTAAACTCATCTTGAAAAGCTATAATAGTAAACCCTGTCTCAATTCAAAGATGTTCACCATCTTTGATTCAGCTGTTTCTCCTCATTTTGTTAGGAACAGAGAGGGAAGATTGCCACCACACCAAGTTTTCTCAATATCCCTCTGTAGCCATGCCTCACCTATGACTTTCTCTCTCTCTCTATGGTCCTCTGTAACACAAGCTCAATGACTACCTACCCTTGGCATTGAGGCAGACAAGCCTGGGCATCCTGATTCTTCCTAACCTCTAAGCCAGAACAAGTTTTGACCAGAAACCAAAAACTAAGCATCTACTACAAACTGTTATGTAGTGATCTCAGTGATGCTTTCCGCCATGTGTTGCACATAGATGAGCCTTGACATTCATCCCCATCAGAGTGGCATCCTTCACTGCATGAAGACATAGACATTGTCTGCCTGTCATGTGCACCTGACAATCCTTCAGACAATTATCCCAGCAGGACAAGCAAGCAGAAAGCCTATCGCCAAGACATAGCAGTAAGGTCGACAAGGCTGGCAATGCTTGACCATTGTACCCAGTGGTACCTGGGTACAAAGTTTTAAAAGTGCTGACCCAACCTCTGACCACTGTGTCCTAGGCTAGGTAAGGCCCACTCACTTCCAAAGTGGAGCAAATTCTCTGCATTCCATCCGATGTGGTACCCATTTTCCTCCAGCTTGCTGTCACTTTCCTGTTAGGAGACAAATATGGTTCTGATAAAAATTCCCTACAGTGAGGCCCCTTCACAAACACATACACTAGACCAGCATGTACTGGAACTGTGTCTTTTCTGATGGGCTGGACACAGGGACACTTGAAGGCTGCAAATACAACAGCAGGTAAGGAGGGAGAGGAAGGAGAGGAAGGAGCTCCCTTTCCTTCATGTGGGGAAACGTTTCACTAGGACCACACACCCTAAGGGTAAACAGATTAATGAGGACTGCAAGTTATTCCCCTGCAGACTGGTCCACAGGGTGTGCACATTCATGGGTAGATTGTACCTGGTACTGGCTCATGACACCCTCAGACAAGGATGCTGTGAAACACCAGCCCTGGATCATATTTCCTTAATAACAAAGGTTTCCTGGAGAGAATCCTGTGGTAGTTGGCTTACCTCTTCCTGTGCTGGACAGAGACCCTCTATGCTGGGGAAGTGGGCACACTGCCATCTGGACTTCCTGCAGAGCTCCTACTTCTGCTGTCACTGCCACACCTCAGATCGCCACCCTGTGTCTCCTAATGTATAGAGCTCATCACTTTAAAGAGAAAGGGCATGTGAAAGGGACTCTAGGGGAACTGGAAATATGCAGCACTTAAGCTAGACCTACTGTGCATCCCTCTCCTCATGGCTGCCCCCTCTCTCTTATCCTATCCAAATTCCTCCCTTAGTCAATTCTTCCTGCTG